GCTTTTTTATCAGGTTGTTACTGAAACACTAAATATAAAGGTAAGACAAAATGTACCCAAGGGCACTGTAAAATGATTTTTCAGACTTGTATTATTGCAGATTATTGAAGTATGTTTTACAAGAAAATCCTATTTCAGTCTTTGAAAACTTCACGCTCAAATTATTGTGTTACTTGCCATTTCTTTGTACTCAGCTGTCAAATTTACAAGCAATTTCTGAGTGCAAACTGCTTCTACACCAATTGTTTTTTCAGTGTGTCAAGGAGTTGGACAGTCGACACTTCATAAAGATTGACATGAACACAAAGACATATAAAAGAGTAATAATTAGTTAAACTGTCGCAAGATCAATTAAAGGGGTCATCAATCAAATTTTCCCTGATATTTTGAGATAATAGCTAAAACGTGCTACAAAAAAATTCAATAATGTCCTGAACTCAAACCCTCCAATGTCATCATGAAATTCATTTACAGCACTTCATCATTCACAAGATAACTGCCATGTTGGCTAAATTGCAAACAATGTAGAAATTTGCCTTGTGCTGTTTGAAATGATGACGTGGAGTTAGCCAGCAGCTATAAACCAAGAGAAAGTGTGACAATGCCAGAACAATTAAACACAGATACAGAAAGGAAAAGAGAGATACAGCGAGTAAAAGAGGTTGCAAAGGGCGGATAATGGCTTTCTCTCTGGCTCTCCTGGGCATGTGAACTACATAACGTCTTGTTTGTCCTGATGAAAACACAACAGCAACCTTATCAGTTAAACATTCTCATTTCACATGACCAGTCTACCACACCCGTAAATATGTTTATTTTGACGTCATTAAAAAAAAAAAAAAGACTAAAGTGCAGCCCTTAGAACAAAAACAATGTCCACTATTTATTTATATAATTGCAAATCTATAGTTTTAAGTTACATGGAAAAATCTGTTAATATTTCCACATTTCCTAAATGGCGCAGAACCCCGGGAAGTATGTGCTGTCTTCGCTCATGGGTGCCAAATTCTGGAAAATTGTGCGGCAATCACCCAAGCTGTAAATGCCATTGGACTAATTACTCTGCAGCCGCAAGACACCAGCAGAAAGGCAAAAATACAAATATAGCTACAAATACTTGTAATGTATATATTACTATCTATTGCCTCAGAATACACAGATTTTCAATGGCCGCCAAAAGTGAAAGACACTTTTTTTCCCCACAGAATGGTGCAGTAAAGACAACTACCAACACGGCCAACCAGCCAATACTTGAACCTGGAGAGATCATATGCATTTCCAGGTAATCTCTTGTTTTTATTTTCTTGACTGTAATATCTACCACACTAGCCTGACTCCAAAACAGTATAGCAATGGTTAAGCTGGGACCTCAAGCAAATCACAATCTTCTCAGATGTTCACAACTGTCAGATTGTGTACGAAGAGCAGGGCTGTAACTACCATAGACGTAATGTAACTGTGTCACTTATCTGTGCTTGTCAGTGTCAAAATGCTTGAGATGGCCAATCAATTCAAAAAAGGTGGCTTTACTGTTTACAGTGGCAAAGCATGAATTCCAATGTGAGGCTTCAGTTTTAAAAGTAAATGTGAGGTAAGATGTAAGTATCTGTTTTAGGATAGAAATGTTAACCGACCAAAAGTAATATCCAGTTACGCAAAAAGTATTTTTGTGTGTGAAATTTTGCAATATAGAAATATTTTGAAAATATAGACTGTTGTTTACAAAACTCATGAATAAATGTGATGAGATAAGATTAACAGAGCCCTTTTCGGCATATTAGGCCCAATCATCATGAGGTCACTATTACCTCATCAGGCCTGGCTGATATTACAGTGGTTTAGAAATTTTGCTCTCACAAAGATTTCGTGACCTCGTTAATGTCTGGAACGGAGCATGACATCACATTCCAATACAAATGGATACATGAAAGTGTTAAAGGGATAGTCCATCCAGAAATAAAAATGCTGTCGTCAGTGACTCACCTTCATGTCATTCCAAACCTATATCACTTTCTTTTTTGTGGAACATAAAAGATGATATTTTGAAGAATAATGGCAACCAAACGGTTTCAGTTCCTTTTGACATCTATTTTTTGTCTATATAATTGAAATCAATAGGAACTGAAACTCTTTGGTTACCAATATTCTTCAGTTTATATTCTTTTATGTTCAACGGAAAACAGAAAGTCATACAGGTTTGGAATGACATGAGAAGGCATGAATGAAGACAGAATTCAAATTTTTGGGTGAACTATCCCTTTAAGCAATAAAGCTCCAATTTAACACCAGCCAAATAGTCAACTGCAATGACATCATTTTCAAAGAATGATCACCATATCCACTTCTTTTAGACAAAAAGTAAATAATTAGAAAAATTAATAAATAAAACATCAGCATGGGATCCACACACCTTTTTTCTTAGCTGGTAGCAAAACCACAGTCTATTCATTAAATACAGTCAAACAAACTCCTCCCTACCAAAACATGTAATCAGACTGCCCTTAATCATTAGTAAGCCCAGGCAAGAGCCACATAATTAATCTCTTAAACTGTGATTCACGACAAACCAAAATGAAAGACCATAACAGCTCACCAAAACGTATTTTCCTTTGGTTGGTCCAAAATGTCAACAAAACGCAGTGTGACAAATGGCAAAAAGGAAATGTGCATAAAAGCCATGACAGTTTGATGCATGTTTAAGCTTTAATATCGCGACATTGAAAATAAAACGAAGCCATAACAGGCCATTCAGGTCTTTCAACAAGCCAGAAGACCAAAAAGGCCTAAATTAGCAATAACCGTTGTTTCAACGAATATGATACGGACTCTTATAGGCTACTACTGTACAATAAAGCCTGTAGTCTGGACTCAGCAAACCCTCATGCAAAAGCACCACCAGGGGGATGCCAGTTCTTACTATAGGTGTAACGAATCCATTATTAGCAACATATTACATTTGCTTTTTTTGCGGAGGGGAGTTTAGTGATATGATTGTTTTGATTGTGCAGCGTTATGAAATGAAATACAAAAGCCTTTGGAATAGAGGAAGGCTGCGTTGAATTAAAAGCACAGTGTATTTTGGTGCCTTAAATTAGGTCATAATCACATCTGTTTCCGTGTAAAATAATAAGGGTGTGGATTATGATTTATCCCCATGGCAAAGCAGATGGGCAAGCAGGCAAATCACCGCCGCTGGTCAAGAGGAGATGGGAGCATGAGTGCGATGCGCTGGAATTTCCCCGCTTTGTACTAGACTGCCTCTCTGTCATATCATCCTGATTAACATGGTAAAATAAACGTCGTACACAAATGGATGGTGCACACATAATGGTCCAGCGATCACACACTGGCAGTGATGGAAAATGCATAGAGCAATGCCCACCTGAATTTCGCTCTCATTACCCAAGCGGCTCCTGCGATCTTGCCATATTAAAGATGATCGGTCAAAAAACCGGCAGCTATCGACAATCCTTTTCTGTGCGAAGCCGTTGGACCACTACGGTAAGTCGGGAAATGAATACGGAACCATATTGGACATATTGGATATGGATGCTCATTTGGAGGAAAATATGAGTCGTCAGGGCGAGCTTCCTCAAGGAGAGCTGCGGTCGACGCCTACAAAAGAAAACCCCGCCCAAGTCCCGCCTACTACCTTGACCGTAATTTAATAAAAATGCTGGTATATAAATAATCATAAACTGTCTGATTATAATAAATACGCGTTGAAAATCAATTCATAATTGGCTTCTGTTTTCCGATTATTTGACGGTCTCGTTCAAAATGAACCATAGTGCATTGTTCTAACGTCAGCGGATCTCATGTGATTGACAAACGTTCGACCAATAGGAGGATAAACTAGAGGAATGGTCATGATTGACAGCTCATTCCACCAATCCGTTATTTTTCTTAACCTCAGCCACAGTGGGTAGCGGGCAGGTGATGTTGCGGTGTTGATTGGAGTAACTGTTAAGAAAATTTTGTCCGGTTAATCTTCTGAAGGTGGAACACATTGTTCTTTATTTCACGATAGATAGATAGATAGATAGATAGATAGATAGATAGATAGACAGATAGATAGATAGATAGATAGATAGATAGATAGATAGATTTGCAGACTTTACTTTTATTTATATACAGTGATAGCCCAACTTATTTGAACACTAGTATTTTCACCAGCTACAATGGCTTTAAGTCAGTTATTTCTATATTTTGCTGTAGTGTGTCCGTAGGAAATATCAGTTTACATTTCAAAACATTCCTTTTGACATTAATCTTAATAATGTCATGAAGAAACAGAACAAACTGAGACAGACTAAATCCAGAAGAACTGTGGCAACGTCTCCAAGACGCTTCAAGAAAACTGCAAAGCTACAGTACTGTTAAAAGTTTTAGGCACTTGTGTAAAAATGCTGTAAAATGAGGATGCTGTCAAAAATAATGCCATAAATAGATTTTCTTTATCAATTAACTTGTATTAACTAAACGAACCAGTTAACTATTAATTAATCAACTTTTGGTGTGACCATCCTTTGCGTTTAAAGCAGCTTTTGCCCTCGGTGCACTTGCACATAGTTTTTTTTAGGTAGCTTTGCAGGGAGGTCTCTTGAAGTAACTTGGAGATGTTGCCACAGTTCTTCTATCTATCTATTACGTGAGCCTGTTTGTTTTCTGTGATGTTTATTTTAATACTGAGTATTTCATGGCTTGGTAATTACAAATGCTGAAAAAAGCAAGACAACAAAGATTTTAGAGTTTAGATCTAGATTTTTAATACGGTTTTCGATTTTAGGTCGCACCGTTTATACACATTTATCATTGTAGGCCTAAAATCAGAATGCATATAGTGACATCGTGTGGACACTTTGAAGTATAAAGGCTGGCGACTGGATTTGGAACCCGCCCACAACATCGACGCGGATTACTGTTACCCAATCGCAAGCATGCTCTGCGTCTCACCCATTATTGACGCTGATTACAACCAATGAGAGAGCTCGGTTTTTATTTCCGGGGAGTGCTATTAACTTAAGGCCTAACCCACACGATTCGTGAGTGCCGACGTTCAGTACCAACATCGAAAGGTAATTTGTTTTGTTTGTACCTTTAATAACTCTAATTTGTTAAATACGTTATAGTTAATAGTACTCACTTCCGGATTTAACTTTATTTTAGAGGCCATTTTAGTAATGAGTCTTAAGTATTTAAAAACAACACAGTTGTAACGTTAGACACCTCGCGTTTCTCTAGCCGCGCAGCCTGAAAGGCTCAAAGCCGAGATGCGAAAGCGATTTGCGTCCAAACAGACTCGTATTGCATTCTGCACGTGTATCACAAGACTTCATTGTCATATATATTCTAGGTACTTTTGGAAAAATGCGCTTTGGACCGCTCGTTTAGATCAGAAGATCGGTTTCGATGGGACAGCGAATGGCGGCTCTATTGTCTGAGTGGTAACGGCTAAATCAATCGGAGCTGGTTTTAACGTTACATGTGTAGCAACTTGTATTATGGATGTTTTTGCCCTTTAACTATTTTCACCATCTAGGTACGATTTACGAACAGAGACCAATATTTTAAAGAGAGCAATAGAAGTGATGATTTATGGATAATTTCGAGGAGTTTGGATAATGCTGCATAATTTCCATTCATTAGTTAAGGCTTAGGTTGCAAAACACTGAGCAGCATTTTTGGCCTCTTTGTACATTTTTTCTTCGTGTAAACGATTCTATATTTGCCTATGTGACCCTGGACCACAAAACCAGTCTTAAGTCGCACAGGTATATTTGTAGCAATATCCAACAATACATTGTATGGGTCAAAATTATCGATTTTTCTTTTATGCCAAACATCATTAGGATATTAAGTAAAGATATGTTTCATGAAGATATTTTGTAAATTTCCTAACGTAAATATATCAAAACTCAATTTTTGATTGGTAGTATGCATTGCTAAGGATTTCTTTTGGACAACTTTAAAGGTGATTTTCTCAATATTTCGATTTTTTTTTGCACCCTCAGATTCCAGTTTTTCAAATAGTTGTATCTCAGCCATATATTGTCCTATCCTAACAAACCATACATAAGTGGAAAGCTTATTTATCCATCTTTCAGATGTATAAATCTCAATAAATAAAAAAAATTGACCCTTATGACTGGTTTTGTGGTCGTGTGTCACATATTATAGTAGAACATGTTTATATATTGATCAGTATATTTGGCATAACTCTCTTTTTTTACATCTTTGTTTCCCTGTCACCAAAGTTACCATGGCCGAAAACGATGTTGATAATGAGCTGTTGGACTATGAGGAAGACGAGGAGCCGCAGACCGCCGTGGACAGTGCAGTCCCAGCTGGCAAGAAGGAGGTGAAAGGCTCCTACGTCTCCATTCACAGCTCCGGCTTCCGTGATTTCCTCCTGAAACCAGAGCTGCTCCGCGCGATCGTCGACTGTGGCTTTGAGCATCCTTCTGAGGGTGAGGATTTATGTGACGTTTTTAAGGTTTTTAGAGTACACTGCTGTGTAAAAATCGATCTAGTATTAGTATATCTATTATATGAGCTGCAGTGTATAGATTTATTTAAAATGGCTTTGTGAGTATGAATAGCCACCATATTCAGTTACATCAGAACATCCAAGTACCTAGTTGTTCTTTTAAATTTAAATCAGTATTAAAGTGCAAACATAAATATATTGACCCAGATGGAGAATCACTTGCATGCTGTCTTGGTTTCAGTGTAATTGTATTAACATGATTTTATGTTTAGTAGTAAAATGTATGATCTTTCCTCAGTCCAGCATGAGTGCATTCCACAAGCCATCTTGGGTATGGACATCCTGTGCCAGGCAAAGTCTGGTATGGGAAAAACCGCCGTGTTTGTGCTTGCCACACTTCAACAGATCGAGCCAGTGGATGGGCAGGTGTGTGCTCATTAAACTAGATCTTGCGAACTCAGCATTATGGTTTTCCTTCCTATTTGTATAAACCAAATTGGCATGAGCTTGTACACTAACAGTCAAAAGTTTTGAAGTCATTACATTAATTTAAACGCAAGTACAGTAAAATTACAGTAAAAATAATATTGTGAAAAATTATAAAAATTTAAGCGAACTTTTTTTAACTTGTAATTTATTCCTGTGATGGCAAAGCTAAATTTCCAGCAGCCATTTCTCAAGTCTTCAGTGTCAAATGATCCTTTAGAAATCATTCTGTTAGTCTGATTTGGTGCTTAATTATTATTGGTACTCGTTCAGTTCAATTCAATTCAAGTTTATTTGTATAGCGCTTTTCACGATACAGATCGTTGCAAAGCAACTTTACAGCAAATTAGGTTTCTACAATATTTAGTAGTAGCTCAGTAGTAGTATCAGTGGTGACTTTCAGTTAATGTACATATGGCAGAAATGTATGGAAAAACCAATTAAAGACGTAATCAAACAGACGATGAACACTTATTACTCGTTATTATTAATGGTAATCGTTAATAATTATGGTTACGTGGTTATGCAAACAGTTTTTGCTGCTGAATTTATTTTTCAGGATTCTTATGTCCTTGCTCTGCTGAATAAAAGTGATAATTTCTTTTTTTTTTTCTTTTTTTTTATCATAACCCAAACTTTTAAGTGATATTGTATCATTTCCAAAAAAATTAAGCATTAACAACTGCTTCAACATTGATAATAAGAAATGTTTCTTGAGCAGCAAATCAGCATATTAGAATGATTTCTGAAGGATCATTTGACACTGAAGACTGGAGTAATGATGCTGAAAATTCAGCTTTGCATCACAGGAATAAGATACATTTTCAAATATATTCAATAAAAAAAAAATGGTTGTTTAAAATGCGACCTTGCAGAGCATAAGATTGTTGTTTTTGAAAGAAGTCTCTTAATTCCAAACTTTTGACCAGTAAACCTAGAATGTTTTTAGGCTGTTCTAACATTGTTTCAAACTTTTCTTGACACTGATCTCAGAAAACAGTTCTGTTCAGCATTAAATCGTCACACTTGAAGAACTTGAATAACCAGCAGTGGTATCTTATGCTGTTGCAGGCTGCTACTTTGGATAGAGACTATTATGAGATCTTGTGGTAGTTATGCATCTTAAGTCAACCAAAAATTTCACCCGTTTTGTCATTTTCTTCTCTGCAGGTTTCTGTGTTAGTTATGTGCCACACACGTGAACTGGCCTTTCAGATCAGTAAAGAGTACGAGCGCTTCTCCAAGTACATGTCCAACGTTAAGTGTGCTGTCTTCTTCGGTGGTTTGTCCATAAAGAAGGATGAGGAAGTGCTGAAGAAGAACTGCCCTCACATTGTAGTGGGAACACCAGGAAGAATCCTTGCCCTCATTCGCAACAAGACCTTGAACCTCAAAAATGTCAAACACTTTGTGTTGGATGAATGCGACAAGATGCTGGAGCAGCTAGGTGGGTTTGATTTTGTCATGTATGGGCCAGTTTACGGAGCTGGATTTTTCCCCGTTCACCGGAGGAGTAATTGTGTGTGATTGCATATTAGATATGAGACGGGATGTCCAGGATATCTTCAGACTGACCCCTCACGAGAAGCAGTGCATGATGTTCAGTGCCACATTAAGCAAAGAGATCAGACCGGTCTGTCGCAAATTCATGCAAGATGTGAGTCATCCTTTCTTTTTTGTTTGCAGTTTGTTACGTTCCAGTTTTGTAATTAATCTAGGGGAACTGAGGAATTAATTAGGGTTGTGCAGTTTTATCTATGGATGTACCTACTTCCCTCAAAAACTGTGAATGGTGTTCTGAATTGTAAAGTTTCTTCTTTTCTTGCAGCCAATGGAAGTGTTTGTTGATGACGAGACTAAGCTTACCCTGCATGGTCTTCAGCAATACTACGTCAAACTAAAGGACAGCGAAAAGAACCGCAAGCTGTTTGACCTGCTTGACGTTCTCGAGTTCAACCAGGTAATTGTCGTTTCATCACATTTTTATAGTCGTCGACCTTGAATGCGGCTGCGGTCAACTCAACGGTTTGTTTGGCTGATTTGTAGGTGGTGATATTTGTCAAGTCAGTTCCGCGATGTGTGGCTTTGTCTCAGCTGTTGGTTGAACAGAATTTCCCTGCCATTGCGATACACAGGGGAATGGCTCAGGAAGAAAGGTGAGACATTTGTTGATCCTATGATCTTCAAATGGTTGGGTAGGAAAAAATGCTGAAATAATTTTTCTTTCTCTTTTCACGCAGATTGTCCCGGTATCAACAGTTCAAAGATTTTCAACGTCGGATCTTGGTGGCTACTAATCTGTTTGGTCGTGGGATGGATATCGAGCGTGTTAATATCGTTTTCAACTATGACATGCCTGAAGACTCAGACACGTACCTACACAGGGTATTTATGCATGATACGCTGTGGTGTTCTACTTTTCATCAAACCTAGTAGTGTAATAACTGCCCAGGGCTAGGGTTGGAAAAATGGACAACTCAAGATTGTTAAACTCTCTTATCCTCATTTCTTTCAGGTTGCTCGTGCTGGTAGGTTTGGTACAAAAGGATTGGCCGTCACCTTTGTATCAGATGAGACGGATGCAAAGACCCTGAATGATGTGCAGGACCGTTTTGAAGTCAACGTCGCTGAGTTGCCTGAGGAAATCGACATCTCCACCTACAGTAAGAAATTTATCGATTCTGAGTATCAGTTTGGCTCATCCCTAGTTTAAAGGATTAGTTCACTCCTGAATAGGACTGTGCAAATAATCAAATTATTTGCAGAACCCTACTCTTGAATTCAGATTTCCTGAATTTACTCTCCCCCATATCGTCCAAAATTCAATTCAAGTATGTTTTTTGAAGAAATGTTTTTGAGGAAAACATTACAGGATTTTTCATAGGGCTGCCCCCTAATAGTCGACTAACCATTTGGTCGACCAAGCCTCGTTTGAAAAAAATTATTAGTCACTTAGTCGCAGCAAAAAAAAAATCCACATTGGCGAAGTCACGCAGATCATTAAGGGCTGATCTGTGTGGTAGTACATCGGCCAGGACATCCATCATTCATCAACCTCAAATATGGCTTATCATCTGTAATGTGTTGGTAGCATCGACTTTACATGGCTGCTCAATCTGATGTTAATCTAGAAATATGTGTGCTATTCAAGTGTCTGTGGAGTGTGGAAGCTGTAGCGCGCTCACTGCATGACAGATGGAGATGGTCACTTGCTCTTAAAATACTCGGTCATTTTTGCTCATACAGATAAGAGTAATACATCTTTCAAATCTGTAAAGACTACATTTATTTGTGTGCACTCACAATAATAGCAATAATAACACATTGCGCTTTTGTAAAATAATGAAAGCAACAGGATGCGCTTTCTACCGTCTCGGTCTCTGTGAACTTGAGCGCAAACTCCGAAACTGTGTATGTTTGCCTTACAGACAAAAAAACTATAGAGAGTGAAATGTCTACTTTCAAATAAACCAATTCAAATGGAAGACAGATATTCTCAAATTATGTAATCTGTATTACACATGCAGGCGCATCACTACTGCAGAGATGACAAGTCAGTGTTGCCGTTTCATCTCTTAAACCGAGAACAAAGAAAGCACTCGACTAGTTTATCATTGAATTACTAAAATGTTATTGCAGCCTCCTTACTGTTTTACCCTGACACATTCATAATCATTAGGCTACTTCTGCCAGTGTGCCGTGGCAAGCTTTATGCGTGCACTTGAGCGCTTTATTAGGCTATGTAGGCAATAAAAGGCTCATTATTATTTAAATGGTTTATTTATAAATGTGCGATTAGTCGACTAATGGTTCAAATGAACGACTACTAGTCGACCAGACAAATCTTTAGTCAAGGGCAGCCCTAATTTTTCACCATATAGTGGATGGGTTGAAAGTCCAAACTGCAGCTTCAAAGGGCTCTACACGATCCCAGCCAAGGAATAATGGTCTTATCTAGTGAAATGATCAGTCATTTTCCAAACAAACAAACAAAATATGTACTTTTTAACCACAAATGCTCATCTTGCACTAGCTCTGCGATGCACGTCTTGGAGTGGGGACTTTGGAGTGAGCAGGGCACGTGCGTGCCATTATGTAGTTGTTTGGAATGTACTTAGCAAAGCCAGCAACGTAATTTCCTCATTATCTTCAGCTGGCATGTTCCCGTGACAATGCAGCACAGTGTCCGTCAGCAGATGACGCTGTTTTACTGTCATAAATATATTTTTATTGTTGTTAGCATAACTGTTGCAAATAAACATACATTTTATATTTTAAAAAGTTTTTAAAATATGCTATATAATATATAAAAACTAATATATATACAACTTTTTAAAATATAAAATGTATATATTTTTTTTTATGCCGGTGTCCATCAGCGAATCTGCTGACGGACACCGTGCTGCGTTGTCACGGGAACATGCCATCTGAAGATAATGAGGAAATTACATCGCTCGCTTTGC